GCGCGGGGGCTCCCCGGGTGGAGGGGAGGCCCAGGCCGGGGCCCTGGCCTCTCGCTGAGAGCCCCAGGGTGGCTGCTGCAGAGAGAAGGCCGTTAGAACAGGATGGGGCTGGGTCGGGAGGCGGGGAGATGGGAAAGGGGGCTGGGGGGAAATGGGGAGCTCTCACCGGGCTCTAGCAGCCGAAGGGGCACCTCCGGCTGGGACAGGGTGGTGAGCTTCCAGCGCCCTGCCTCCTGCCGGGCCAACTCCTGGGCCAGGAAGTCAATGTCATCCTCCAGTCTGGGCTGGGGGGGACCCCCCGCTGGGAGGAGAAGGGACCATCAGGTGGGGAGCCCCAGCCCCCCCAGCAGCCCCAGCTGAAGGTGACTCCATCCTGGAGCTGGTCCCCAGGCCCAGAGCCTCCCTCCCCGTCTGGGCTCCTCCCGGCGCTGGTGGCCTGAGGACTGGGCTGGTACCCAGCTGCCCCTTGTCATCCGGGGTTGCCATGGTAACAACTGAAGGGGAGCCCTGTGTGAGAAGCCTCATTCCCAGGAAACGTGTGGGCGGGGCAAGGGGCGGAGGTGCTGGGGGAGTGTGCACAGGCCAGGAGGAGGGCAGGGGTGCCCCTGACCCCACCCATCACCCACAAAGGGGTGGGCAGGACATGGGACAACACATCAGTGCATCCCATTGCCTCTCTGCCAGAAGGCGTGACTCCCCCAGAGCGGGGAGCGGCCCCACCCTGTCCCCACACCTCCACCGGGAGGGTGGGCAGCTCCAGGAAGCGCTGGCGGCTCGGCCCCCTTCTCCCTGGGGTGGGCTCCGCAGGCCAGACAGGCTCCAAGCAGACGCCCATGGGTCTCAGCGCCCCCTCCCCCAGGAGCCCGCCCACGACTGCAGGGACCAGGCCTGGGCACTCTCCCAGGGTGACCCTGGCATTTCCCACCGGCTGCCTCTCGCCGCAGTCCGCCACCAGGCTCTGGCGGAGCCCTCTGGGAAGGATCGCTAGGCTGCTGGGAGGTGCCGTGAGCATCCCCGCATCCCACAGAGTTCAGGGACAGGGGAGCAGAGGCTGGGGGCGCTGTGTCAGGCGGGGGAGGGGGGG